CTACTGTGATTGCCAGCATGTTTGTGTCGAAAGTTATTTTCATTACTGAATCCATTACACGTATATTGATTATAGATTCAAAATAAAACAAGTCTTTTTTATAAGACTTTCTTACACAATGAAAATAAGAAAAATACAACTCTCTAGAAATACACACAGAGGACGTTTATCACTCGCTACTTGCGTGGGATCTTTGCCTATGCCGGGAACGCGTTAGTCTATGAATCATCTCAGATCAGATCCGGTTGACAGAACGAAAATTCAATGCTATTACTTCACAAAGAAAGTATTCGTAAAAGTAAATAATCTTGGCCAAGCGAAATTACTACTCTTCTCGAGATCAAAACTAAGTTTGATCTGGAGGAAAGGTGGAACAGGCTTCAGATCTCTCGAAATCCACTCTTTATGCACAGGAATTCGGCAAGATCTCGCTAGATTCTCTCAAATTCTTCAGAACCTCACCCTAGCTCCTCTAAAATTCATGGCTCCTTTCAAATCTGCCTTTATGAGGGTGATAAGGGTGTATTTATAGATTTTAAATGTCGTGTTTGTGGATAGGATCGAAAAACAACCGTTATTATCTGTTTAGGTGGGTTTTTTTGTTGTGTAATAGCTTTCACACGTTTAAGGATAACTCCACATGTTTATAGATGACCACCAGGAGTTCTAGAAGCTAATCTTATTAGAAAACATATTAGGAGCTGATCTGGGCGCGAGTCACTTCGAGGTGACTCGGATTTCCCGAGACAGTTTGTACTATTTTTAATATTTTATCTTTAATTCTCTCTTCTAACCTCGGAATGAGGCGATTCAAGTTACGTTGGAAAGCTAGAAAAGAGACCTATAACTTTTATTTTTGAGATTTTTCAAATTCAAAGAGAATCATGGTTGAAATTTCAATTCTTCTCGAACCATGTAATCTAAATCTCGTTGTTGCTTCCTCGCTTCGTATTTTCAGCATCGAATGATCCTCTTTGACTTGGATAATCCTCTCTAACTCGGATAATAGTGTTCATTATCTTCTCTTCATTTTAAACTACGTGTAGGAACCTATAGGTAATTTTTGACGCCTACATTTGTATTTTTGCTTTAGAGCATCCTTAGCTAGCACAACCAAAATATTAAAAATATTAATAATTAATTTATATAATAAAACTATATTTTTCATAAATTGATTTTAGAGAAATGGAAAACTAACAATTTGGTGGTGAGAGGAGAAATAAGGAGGAGCTCAAAAAATCTCAATGGAAAAGAGTATAGCAAAAAAATGGTCATTTTGATCAACTCCATGGGGAAAGAAGGAGAAAGATGAAATCCATATTGTATACTAACTCACTCTTGTAATTAATATTTTGAAGTTCGATATTGTTGGCGGCTCCTTCCCCACCGCCAAGCTCGGCCACATCACCGATCCCCATTCTAGTGCCTCTAGGTAACCAACTTAGGGCTTGATCATCACCTACATTTCCATTAGCACTATCCCCAAGCCACCCTCTACCTCCACTGAATACTCCTCCACCATGTTTTCGTCAAAAGTTGGTCTCGTTGTGGAATTCATTATATCTTCAGTCGATTACAATAAATTCAAAAGAGATAGCCTTTTTATAAGACTCCTTTTACACAACAAAGAGAAAATTACAACTTTTTAGAAACAAACGCAGGATCGTTGTTTGGATCGCTGCTTGCGTGGGATCTTTGCCTGTGCCGGGGGTGCGTTAGCCCGTGGACCACCAAATCACAGATTCTGATTGAACCGTGAGGGGTTTAATGATTCTTCCTTCATTTATCGAAGTAAGAATTTGAAGCGAATATCTTATCGATGTAAGATGTTCACTCTTCTAAAGATCAAGTCAGAGCTTAGATCTCTAGGAATCGCCAAAAGCTTCTTGAGGATGTTTGTGAAGAAGAAAGACTCTCTCTCTTGCTCTAATTCACCAAAACTCAAGGCTCTCTGCTCTAATCTCTCTGGAAAATGCTCAGCCTCTGTCAATGATGGCCATAGGGGGCATTACCGCGGCTATTGGCGCGGCAGTGTGGGCTGCCGCGGCCAAAGAGACGGTTACCAGCACGTTCCATCGTGCTTGAAACTGTTCTCCCATGACCTTTAACCACTTTTTTCGTGGTTTAACTGCTTGTCCACATCAGCACACGTTCTATTTCTGACACGTTGCCACGTAGACTTCAAATAATCATCACATAACTACATTGTAACCGCTGTAGCATCCCCTATAATGGCCGTGGCACCATAAGTTGCAGCGCCTAAGCCGCGGCACCATAGGCTGCCGCGCCTTTGCCGCGGCACCATGGGCTGCTGCGCCTTAGTCGTGGCACCATGTCCTGTCGCGCCGCAGTGTGTCACCTGATGATGTGTATATTGTTCTTCCATATTGTCTCGCTTCCTTTGAATGATCCCCTCTGATTAAGAGACTGATGTTTACCACCTTCTCTTTGTCTCAAGTGGTATTTGGATGTCTGTAAGCATTTTTTGACGCCTACACACCACTGTCGAGCTTGCCAAGCATACTTCATCATCGCTCATGAAGCATGGCACATTTGGTCTTCAAACCACACTTTTCCTAACAAATTCATATTTCCTAATAGTTTCTATACATTGGACTGACAAGCCATAGAAGAGTTGCAAGAAGAAATAAATGTGAAATTATAATACTTGGTTATTATGAGTGATTCTTAGTTTAATTTGTCATGAGTATCCGGGGAGGGAGGGGTTATATAGGGCTTAGAATATAAAACGAAAGAAAGTTAGAAGGGTTGCATTAATGAATTAAATGATCAATTATAGAATGCCAAGAGTTGTTTGGGAAAATAGCTGTTGTTTGGCCATCATTTAACTAATACGTTGGTTACACAATAGGCTATATACCGAGTCAAAAACTATTGTCTTGATGACATTGATGGGTGTAAATTTGATATTATTGTTGAGAATTAAAAGTAATCCTTTTAATGGACCACCTAGCTCTGGTCCTTTTTGGCCGTATAAAGGTTTTTATAATTCTTCAATTTAAATACATGAGAACTTTTCTTAGACAGGGAGAGATGGTGAAAATGTTTTATTAATGACTTTCATACATAAAAGTAACAATAATAGTAGGAATTGAAAGGACTTGTGAAATATGGGAGAGAGTGGATGGAAGAGATCACTTAAGATATTAAATGCAGGCCATGAAGGAAAATTATAAATAAAATAATTATAAAAATTAATAATTGTTCTCATTTAAGTATGTATGTATGTTCATGTACATATGTGTTTTATTATGTATGTATGCACGTGTTTTAGAGGATGCATGTATGTGTTCTATTTATGTATGCATGTATTTTGGAGGGTGCTTTGGGAAGATATATTTTAACATACCAATCCACTTTATAATAATATTAATTTTTTCTTTTTTCTTATCATATTAATTTCTCATTAATTAGTGTTTAGACACTACCACTATCACTGATAATTAGTCTGGTCAATCATTCACGCCTCTTGCAGCCACCAACCAACCACACGATACCAACAATTAATACTTCTCACCAATAAGATTGTACAGACATAAATAAATACACCATCCTCAACTCTCCTCCAACCCAGCCCTGGCGCAAAACAAC